CTTAGCTAAGAGAAGTTCGTTTGAAATAAATCCTTCCAGATCAGGATGGTAGTTATTAAAAGCGCATGGTTTTTAAAAGCAAGGTTTTACTCTTCTCTGGGGCTCACCGTCAGCAGGCTGCTGGAAGTTGATGTAGGCATAGCCCAGCGAGCGCCGGGTGGCCACGTCCCGACACACCCGGATGGACAGAATATTGCCGATGGGGGAGAACATCTCATAGAGCATAGCTTCGGTCACATCAGGGTGCAGATCGCCCACATAGAGTGAGGAGAGTGCGCAGGCCTGGCCACCGGGGTCCATGGTGTTCGGGGCACCCAGAAACGGATCATCAAAGAGCCCCAACACTGGGCCTGGCAATCGTGATGGTGGCTGCAGCCGGACTCCGCCAGTTGTCCTGCCTACCTTCGTCAGCCCTTTGCCTTTACCAGGCCCGCAAGCCAATCCCAGCACCCAGCCCCACCCACCTGGGAGTCCTCAGGCTGGGAAGGGCACAGGTGGCCGGCATCTCCCACCTTGCCTAGAGGGAATACCACAGGTCAGCAAGGCCTGGGGAGGGCTGTGAAGACTGAGTCATGGGTGGAGTTGTTTAGAAGAGGCAGAGTGCAGGTCTGAACTTCAGATTATTCTTTGTCTCTCGGTATAAAATGGGGACGACTGCATCTTGGGAACCATTAAAGGAGTTGGCTTTTTGTGGTTTTAATACACATCAGAAAATTCTCTCTCTTCCTCTCTTGCTTGCTCTCCCTCTCCCACCCACCCTTCCTCCTTCCCCCTCTCTCTCTCCCTTGCTTGCTTTCTCTCTTTGGTTTCTCTGTGTAGCCCTGGCTGTCCTGGAACTTACTCTGTAGACCAGGCTGGCCTCAAACTCAGAGATCTGCTCGTCTCTGCTTCCTGATTGCTGGGGTTAAAAGCATGCACCACCACCGCCTGGCTAAACCAGAGAATTCTTACGGAAATACTGTTTCAAGGTTTTGTAAAGAGTCTGAGGCTGGGGAGATGGCTCAGTGGGTAAATTGCTTCTATACAAGCTTGAGGACGGGGGGGGGGGGAGGGCAGACCCCCAATGCCCATGTAAATACTAAGTATAATGGCGATAGGCACCTGTGACCCCAGCCCGGAGGAGATGGGAATAGGTGGATCCCTGGGTTTGCGGGCCAGCTGGTCTAGCCAAAACAGCCAGATTCAGGCTCAGTATAAGACTGTTTCTAAAACAGGTGGTGAGCTATAGACACCTGGCCTGTACACCTGCACATGCAGTCATGTGCACAAACAGGTGCACACAAACAACTTTACCTTGCCTGCAGAAAAGCCTTCTCTCAGAACATCCCAGTCCAGTCTCTCTTGCACCGAGGGTACAAACCAAACAACTTTGTGTCAAGAGACTGAAGGTTGCATGTGACAATTTGAGGCCTGTGGGCTGTTACATAGGAAACCACAAAGGGCTCTGTTTCTGTAATGTATATTAAGTGTTCATATTTTACATATTGATTTTACTTAAACATGTACAATTATATATTTACTATATATATATATATATATGTTTAATTCAACTGTACTATGTATTTCTAAATCTGCTCTTTTCTGTGGCTGTCCAGCTCCCCATCCCAATGGACCATCTACAGTCAAGCCTCTGAAGGTAGCTGAAGGATGAGTTTCATCCACATTGCTGAATTCAGGCCCCTGGCTACTCCTCCCTCCCCTCTCCCTAGCCACCATTGCTGGCTGGTGACTTTAGTTGGGTCATCCTCTTGCCTGTACTGGGAATCTATGCATATAGGTGGCATCCCTTTCAGTACCTTTTTGAGTTTGTTGGTTCAGTTACTGGGGAAGACTCACAGCGTGGATGGCATTGGTGAGGCAGACACCACATGGTGTTGTAAATGTGTATCCTGTCTTTGCAGTGCTGGATGCTGGGTACTTCTCACAAGAGATTAGGCCAGGAGGCTTTCAACTCTATCCTTACTGGGTAAGTTGCTTTTACTGTTACTGACGTGGAATGAGCAGCAGATTCCCACTATCGCAATGCTTTGTCTGTGGTTGGCAATAGTTGCTCCTTTCCATGATTAGGGCCAGGAGCCTACTGGGACAGTTTGCTCAGGTTGGCCCCACAGAGCTCCCAGCTACAGCTGTAACTTGCTCAGAAGCCTCAGGTATTTTTGTAAAAATTCCACATGGACTCTCCCTGCTCCACCCCCCAACCCTGTTTTTTTCTTTAAAAATCAAGTTCTAAAGATAAGGTGGGGTTTAAATATCAGTTGTAGAGGACCCATGTTCAGTACCCTGCACTCACATGGTAGCTCAAGACCATCTGTACCTGCAATGTCAGGGCCACTGATGCCTTTTTCTGGCCTCCAGCGCCACTGCATGCTCATGATGTACATGTATGAATGTCAGCAAAGAAGACATACACTTGAAATAAAAACAAGCCAAGTCTTCTGTTTGGTTTCTCTGTGTAACAAACTCCCAGAGATCCTGAGATCGATGGTGTGAGGCGCCACCACCACCTGGCTGCAAGTCTTTTTTTTTTTTTTTTTTTTTAATCTAAAATCCAAACAATCTTTTTAAAAAATAATTTATTTAATTTGGTTTTATGTGCATTGGCGTGAGGATGTCAGATCCCAGTGAACTGGAACTACTGCTGTGTGGGTGTTGGGAATTGAACTTGGGTCCTCTGGAAAAGCAGCCAGTGCTCTTAACTGCTGAGCCATCTCTCCAGCCCCAATAAAAAAAAGTCTTAATGAATTAAAATAAAAATTCACTGGTACTCAAGGAGATCCCCAAACACCCCCATCTGTTTACATCTGTAGGCACAGGCTATTAGAGTTTTTAAAAACTAATTTTTTTTTAGTTTTAAGCTTATTTTTAAAATTATTTGTATGTGTATTTGTGTATAGATATTTATATGTGAGTGCATACAACTATGGGAGTCAGAGCTGTTGATCCTCTGTGCTGCTGGAGTTACAGGTTGTAAACCACTAAATGTGGGTTCTGGGGACCAAACATGCCCTTTGCTAGAGCGGTATGTACTCTTAACCACTGAGCCATCTCTCCAGCTTTTATTTTTACTTATTCATTCAGGATTTCATACAAGTATCCAATGTATTTTAATCATATCCACCTTCACTCCCCTCTCCAGCTTCCCCCAAACCCCACCTCCAAGTTCCCCCTTTTAATAACCCACTGAGTTCAATAGTGCCACCCATATATCTATGGGTGTGTATCCATCTACTAGAGCATGGTCAACTTTCCAGGGACCACACTCCTAAAGAAAACTAACACTCCTCTCCTAGCAGCCAGTGGCTGTCAATAACTCTTCAGCTATCAGTGCAGGGTCTTAGCCCAACCAAAGAAGGATGAGCTGGGTCAGAGGAAAGGTAATTGTGCCACTAGTTTGTTCCCCAGCCTCCTGGGATCCTGGAGTCAATAAGACACAGCAGGGAGTCTAGTCAAGCAGGAACTCATTTATTGCCCTATAGCATCTTTTAAAGCAAAAAAAAAAAAAAAAAAAAAAAAACCCACAGGGCGGGAAAACAGCCAGCCAATGGTTTTAAAGGTCAGCCTATCATGTGCCTAGGCACCCTATGCTTTACCTAGTGATCATGAGCTGTTCATGCAGTGACCTCATCTGGTTTGATCTTGGCAACCTTTTTTGTAAACATCTCAGGACTCGCCCTCTGACTTCCCCTCGATGCCATCCAGCATTTGTGCTAGGTGGTCGACTAGCTTGCTCCTGGCATGTCTGTGTAGGCATAAACACAGCTACTGTGAGTTCACAAATACAACAGTCATGTCCACAACACACTGCAGAATTTGATCAGTAACCTTGTCCGAAGGCCATACTTGTCTTACCCAACTGTAAAATTCCTAAAAGTTTCTCAGCTGGCTTTCACACTGTGTGGATTAACTTCCCACTCTTTCCTTTAGGTTCCGTTTGCATGTCTTCACAGTGTTTTTAAATCTGTGAAACACTGAGGCTAGCATCATACCATCTATATAATGAAACCATCTTGCAGAGGAAGACATGTCATAGAGCAGGGTCCTAGGGTACTATTATGTGACCAAACCCTGCGCTTGCATCCTGATGACTGTAAAGTCCAAACATGAATTCCTTTTCTGCCCGTAGCAGGGAAAGGGGGCTATTTCTAAAGCAATGCCCTTCTTGGATGAAGGAAGCATGGGAGTTTTACATAAGACTATAGCTAGTCAGAGAGGATGTGGCCCCCTCCTAAGTATAGTCAGGTAAAGTATGCTCTTTAGAACACTCAGTTTAACATGCTGAAACACATGCTTAAGGTAAAAGTGATGGTCAGGATTGCCTCTGGACACGCTCAGTTTGCACTATAAAGTTTTAATGAAACACATTTTGAAGGTACATTAATCCAGGATTATGTCCTTGAAAGTGCCTGCCTTGTTTATTGGCTAACAATCCCATGACAGTAGGGGTCTGGAGGAAACTTTGATGGTTTCACTCCTGCTGAGTGAGAGTCTGGGGAATAGCAAGGGGAGATCTCATCACTTATCTGTTTCCAAAAGATCAATCCTGGGTACCGCAGCCTGGACAGGGTGGCATTTCTCTATTTAGCTCTCTATAATTCAGCCCATTATCTACGAGCTGTTTGGCTCTTTTTATTGTCACGACTGCATGTATATGGCATGATGTAGGGACCAGGAGACATTTCAGAGTTGGCTCTCTCCTTCCACCACATGGGCCTTGTAAATCAAACTTGGGTCCTCAGGCCTAGCAACAAGAGCCCCCACCAGCTGACCCACCTCAGTGGCTTGGGTGGACATCTCTTATCTGGCAGACCCTATTACAGAAGGAACTGCCACCTGATGACTGCTCTGACACTTGGCTCAGTTGGCCTTATCACCTATAGCTGGGGGCCATTAACTGCTCCTCCTAGACTCACCTTTGGTTTTGTTGCGTGGAGTATCACAGGGCTTTTTCCTAGGGAGACAAGGAAGATAACCAAGAGACTAAAGAAAGGATTCCATCCAAGTCCAGTTTGGCAAACCAGTTAAGTTTTATTGGGGTATTGACAGTAAGGAGCATGGGCAGGTTCAAAGGCAGCCACATCACTGTCAAGTCCCCTGCACCATTTAAAAGCAGTTATGGCACCAGCCATGTTGCTGTCTGTGCCCATTGGCAGCCAAGGCTTATGTAATCTTATGAAATATGTCCTGCCCCCCCAAAACCTCAAAACAAAAACAACAAAATAACCCAAAAAGAACCAAACCTAAAACTGTGCCCATTCTGGTGAGAGCCTTGCAAAGGTGATCACAGCTGCTCTGGTTCAAGATGGCAATGATCACATCCAATGTGACAGAAACAGCCATACACATTTTTACTGTTGCCTCTAAAGGGTTAAATAAAACTACTTTTTTATTAAAAAAAAAAAAAAAAAAAGAAAAAAAGAAAAAGCCCCAAATAGGTGTGGTCAGAATAGTCCTGAGTGACAGATAGTGGTAACACATCATTCCACAGGCAACTAACTCATAAAATGTTTTATTTCACTTTTGAGTTTTTACATTTTCCTGATTACTCCGTGTAAGGTAAAACTAGAATGTTTAAAAGACATATACACGAATCTAGTACATCGGGGATTTTCTTTTTCTTTTTGCTATACTATTTTCACAACCACAGGTGTGCTTGCTAGGCAAATATAACCACCACGGAAGCAAATGTTAGGCAGAATACTGGTAAGGAAAAAAACAAAGCAAAGAGCTACCAGATATACAGACAGGCTTGGTTTCACACTCACTACTGCGTGGTCAAGCGCCAAGTATTAACTGCACATTTTTCTTCAGCTAGAAAGGATTTTTTTTTTTTTGGTGTTTTTTTTGTTTTTGTTTTTTTTTTTATTTTTGGTTTTAAATCAGTGCATGAGTTCTTTTCTCATTTCAGCAGATGGACAAACAGACGGACTCTACAGCTACATGGAATGTCAAGGTAGAGGGGTGATCCTGTGAGACTGACAGGCCTGACTGTTCTTGGTTCTCTCTATTGTAGTGTCCATGCAACTTCCCTGGGTTATGGGGTCTTGTTTAGACAAGTCTGAGAACTAAGCTGGATGAGTACACTGGGAAGGTCTGGTCCCAGGTACTAAACAAGCATTATCAGGGCTGGTTGCAATAGGGAGAAATCATGGATACTTAATACTTTTTTGATTTGAGTCATGGTATAAAGAACAACTGTGCTAAGAACTGGAGGACAGGGCGATGGTGCTAGTGGGCCTTCCTTCCTAACACCGTGAACTGTGCTCAATGCCTCATCCCTGTCTATACAGTAACAACAAAGAAAGGCTTCCAAAAGAAAACACCCAAGGAAGCAGAAAGCTGTACATTTAAAGAGAAAGAAGCGAAGTCAACAGTTCCCACCCTCCAAGCTAGGAAGAACCCCAAGACTGTGAGTGTCCCACAGGCATGAGACCGTCTCCTCAGAACATTATCCTTAAAGGAATCATCCAGCAAGCTGGTATGGCCATTTATAAGATACACCATTCTAGCTCTCTCTGTCCTTTAGCCAGGGGGTAACAGAAACAGATCTGTTTTCACAAGTTGCTAATCAGGAGCACACTGATGCAGTAAAGGGTTTAATCACACATGTGGTATGAGCGGGACCTTTTTTTGTGGTATCACAGCCCAATTATCAGCCAAGGAATTTCACTTTCTGGTTTGAGTTTCCTCAGGAAAAGACACTGAAGAAATCTGTGGTCATGAACTTGAGTGGCAACAGCACATACTGATCAATAAGCCCTCAACCACAGGCAAAATTACCATGAGTTACCAAACTCAGGTGCCAATGGTGAGCATCTCACCCTAAGTCCTGGCATCACAACAGAGTCTCTACAACTTTCTATACACCTTTACAACAGAGTTGTATTCAGTGACTATTTTGACATCAGATTAAACTTTCTAAAAAGTTATACATAATTCAGGTCTACTTTTCCTACCAGTAAAAGCTTTGCTAAGTTACAAAACCACATAATCACAGTGTTCAGTTTGTAAAAATTAAACACACAGCAATCCTTGTCAATGTTGATCAAAATCAAGACTTCAGAAATGCCGTGGCATTTAAGGGACCAGTCTGAGTTTCAGATACAAATACCAGCTGTTTATCCCAGGGACCATTTTTGCTAGGCTTAGGCTGTGAAAAATCGAAAGTCAATATTCGATTTTTTTTTGTTTATCGCACAAAGGGATATAATGTGGAGGATACAGAGTGACACCAAACAGATCACAAAGCATGACAGACATTAGTTCTCTCCCTCTCCAGCATCTCCTTCATCACCCTGGTTTTCTGACGTCCATAGCTACAAGAGAAAAGGAAACAGAAAGCCATAATAAAAGATCATTAAAAATTTTCTTCAAGAGGTGACCCAATGTATTTTACATCAATCACTAATTTTTTTTTTCCATCCCATTCCGAGTTTGTCCCCTCCCACTCCACAGGGAGGGTGATGCTTTCCAGGAGGGATCAACAAAAATCTGTCAAGTCATCAACTACTTTTTTTTTTTCTATTTTATTTTACATGTGTGGGTGTTTTGCCTGCATGTATATTTGTTTATCATTTACGTGCCTACTGCCCTAGGAGGCCAGAAGAGGGAACCACATTCCTTAGAATAGGGGTACAGATGGTTGTGAGCTGCCATGTGAGTGCTGGGAACCTGGGTCCTCTAGAAGAACAGCTGAGAACCACTGAGTCATGTTTCCAGGTCTCTCACTCAACTATTCAAAATTCCTTATTACCACAGATAATGTGACTGCCAAGGCATAAAGTCAGCAGTCAGCTACAGGTTAAGGTAACAATGTAAAACTGTACCTCACAGTTTACAAACCCTCTCCAGTCTTGGATAATAGTGGGCTAGGTAGGTAAATAGCCTCCAGAGGTACTTACAGTGAGATTGTCCCTGAGTAGCTGCATGATCAGGGTGCTGTCTTTGTAAGACTCTTCATTCAGTGTATCCAATTCAGCAATTGCTTCATCAAATGCCTAAAACAAAGAGCCATTAGCAAGGATCTGGATGTTCTCTGTATTAGCTCTACTTTTTTCTGCAGGTAAGAGGATGGGAACTGCCCTGCTCTCATCTCACACCTGCCAGATGTTTCAAATATATGTTATGTATAAAGCAACAACAAACCCCCACCAACAGTCAGATCTTGGAGTTAGAGACAGCTGTGAGCTACCTTGTAGGTGCTAAGAACTGAACTCAGCTCCTCTGGAAGAGCAGTCAGTGCCCTTAACCACCGAGCTGTCCAGTCCCTCATAAACTTTTAATTGCCAAAGTGGTTTCTATTTTTGTTTAACTAAAAAGGTCTGTACAAAAGTCAATGGGAAGAACAGTAAAGCTCACCTTACTGAGCTTGCTTTGTCTCAAGGGTTCAAGTTGTAGAATTCAGTGCAGGCAACCTTTCCAAATTAAAGTTTCAAATAACAGAGTACATAGGAGAGAAAGCTCTCAAAGAAGAAAGGAAGTAATAATATAGCATGAACAAAATGGAATCTCATTTCTTTCATGGTGTCCTATCTTGGCACAAAGAAGATAATGCCCAATGCCCAAAGCTTGTTGAAAACTACCACGTTTACCTCAATGGTTCTACCAATGACCCCAATAGTAATTAAACCAAGCAAAGCGAAGGCCAACACACATATCCAGATGAAAGCACCAAGTAACGGCCTATTTATTTCCTAAAAATCCCAGCTGCTAGAAAATGTTTAAAGTTTAAGACAGTTAGGACAGCTCATAAATAGAAGGAAGTTCTTGGAAATAGCAAAAGGATCTTTCTTTCCTCACCGTTTTGGCCAGGCTGCAGGCCTTTTCAGGAGAATTTAGAATCTCATAGTAAAAGACTGAGAAATTCAGTGCCAGGCCAAGTCGAATCGGGTGTGTAGGCTGCATTTCTTTCTTACTAATTTCAAATGCTTCTTGGTAAGCCTGCTGGGAGTTCGACACAGTGGCTAGAAAGAAGATAAAAATGTTAGCTTCTTGCAGAGGCTGCATGACACATGGGATCCACATCAAGTCACTTTAGTAAAGGCTACAGCAAACAAGCTATCAAAACAAAGGCCAGTCAGTGTCTGTACCATTAACCTTAAACATTTGCTGATATTTACACTAAATACTCTATTAACTGCTTTGAGAGAAAACAGACAATTATGATGAAGTCTATTAAAAGCAGCTAAAAAATACAGAAACAGCCTTTTATAAGACTAATTATGGGAAATACATTTTAGTGAAAAAATAATGGGGTTTAAGTTCAGCATAAACAAGCTCAAATTCTCACCTCACCTGGTATGTGCTACTGCAAGTAAAAAGTCCACACATGAACTCTGTTTTTTTTTTTTTTTTTTTTTTTTTTTCTTTTTTTAATTGGGAAAACTGGAGACTCACACCCAAATTCAAAGTGCTAAAAGGGTAATGCAAGCCCAATTACTTAGTATACAGCAACGAATAAAACAGCTATAATCACATCACAGTGAGCCATGTGTTGAAAGAAATGCATCCCTATGCTGGTCTCACACAGTGGTCTCCCCTCATCTGTGGATGCCTGAAACTAAACAGACCTGAAACCTATTATATATGTTCAAGGTTACGCACACAGGAGATTAACAGTTCTATAAATATACGGTGATGCAAGCTTGCACTGTGGAAATCAGTAAATTACCTGAACACAAGCAGTTCATTACTAGAATAGTCAATCAAGTAACCAATATGGCAACCAGGTAAGTAATAGGTGGCTAGCACTTACAGGCTAACTTGGGGCAAAATTTACAACTCATATATCTTTGCAATTTTCCATTTAGATTTCAGACTACAGTTACAGTAACTAAAGCTGGGTAAAGCAAAGTCATGGTCAAGGTGAACTACTATATTTTACCAATAAAAACAGAGCCATCAATTCTCAGGCAAGAGTTCACCAAATATATCACATATAAACTTCTAATCCCTTCATATCTGTGCATTAGACAGACAGGTTTGTTAACCCGGGACTCCACACATGGCAATCCTGTGGTCTCTGAAATTCTCATTATTGTGATCTTAATATCTTAGTCAACAAAGTAAAAATGGATTTTGTTATTAAATATTAGCCCTCCTACTATTTTTTAAAAACAAGGCGGGTGTTGGTAGCACATACTTTTAATCTCAGCACTCAGGAGGCAGAGGCAAGCGGATCTCTGTGAGTTTGAGGCCAGCCTGGTCTACAGAGTGAGTTCCAGGACAGCCAGAGCTACACAGAGAAATTCTGTCTCAGAAAAACCAAATCAAACCAAATTATTACTTACTTTGTTTATTGTCTCCAGATGCAACCTCAGACAGATACCTAAAATAGTCTCCTTTCATTTTCAAGTAGAACACCTTGCTTTCTGGCTGTGTAGCATTGGGAATGAGATATTTGTCCAACAGCTCCTAAAAAGTGATTCACATTAAGAATTTTGAATTGCTTCTGAGATATTAAAATTACATTTGAGATTCAAGATATGCACTACTACTACTGATTTTTCTGAAGACTAAAAACAACAAAAACCCCTAAACAGAAAAACCTAACCAATTTTCATCCAAGATGCTAAATACTGCTTAGCCAAGTCCTAAGAGCAGATGCCCATACTCTTCAATTCCAAGCCCTTCTGACCACCATTAACGGCTACAATAAAATGTGATATAAAAAGGGTGGCACAGAACTACACTGCTACCACAAATCTAGCTGGAAAAGACTTATCAACAACATAATCTCACTTTAGTATTAAAATAAGTGTGGGTGCATGCACACAAAACACGGGGAAAGCTTTGGAGGATTCTGGAAACATGAGAAGTGACTTTTACTTCCTAATTCTTCTGTCCATCTCTTAAAAACAAACAAAACCCTCACTTAAACTTGTTATTACTTTTGTGATTATGGTCTTTCCATTCTGGGAAGAAAAAAAAAAAAAAAAAAGCAGCAATAGAATAAAACAGGCAAGAACTCAGTTTAAAATTGATCTGACCTGGGAAGAAAACCTTCTTCTGATGCTTACTGTCTGTTTCCACATGACCTGGGGAGGCTGAGGACCCCAAGCCTCAGATTCCTTGGCTGTACAGCCAGGAAGGACAAGGGGACCAGCATGGCCACCTTCTAAAGCAGTTATAAGGACAAGCAAGGTAACATACATCTAGTGCTTAACACGTTGCTTGGCACGTAGTAAGCACTCAGAGAGTCTAGTACTATTATTAATAACAAATTCCTTTAAACATTTATGCTTACAACAAAAGTAGTTCTGAAGGAGTCCAAGCTTCGTATACAGAGCAATGTTTCGAAGAGTTGTTTTAGAATGTGGCATCCTGAAAAACTGGTTAAGAGGCAGTAAGGACCATGCTCTTCTTCACACTCTTTCAGATGCTCTTAGAAGCTGCTCTACATTTCAGGGATTATGGACCTCTCTTGCCTTTGGAATGCATGCCATACTTCATCTGAATACCAGATGTACCTAACATTCAGGAATTAGTGCACCATTAACAAACCCCAAACTGACAGGGTAAAAGTTTATCCACGAAACTATCTTACACCAAGGTTTTAATAACCAAAGCAAAGCTCAGCTATCAAGGATTTTATTAATCAATGTCAGAGTATGCAAGAGGCAGTAGTTGTTTTAAAGTACTGTGCAGAGGGGTGTAACTCCTGTGGGTTAGGGGTGAGGAGTGCTGCATGACAGCTGAAAAGCTTTATACTGGTTTTCAAAAGACGTCAAGGGAGGTAATTTGGGGAGACAGACAGTAGGGTAGGAAGGAAATCAACAAGTGTTAATCCTTTTCCCTTTAAAGCAGCCCTCACAGTTAAGTTTTACCTGACTTCATATAGAAAATAAAATTTCCAGTGCACTCCAGATATTAGGGAAAGAATATAGTCATGAAGTGTTCTAGGATAGGCAACCCTCCCACCCAACCCCAAATGTAGTTAGAATGATCTACCACCTGACTGCAGTGTACATCACACACAGGAGAAGCCCCATACCACCTTTGATTTGGCTTTGGGCTGTACATTGCGGTTGTCAGAATGTGTCTAACCTTCAACATCAGATTGCTACACTCTGTGAGAACATGACCAAGGAGAGGCCAAAAGGCCTTTCCATCTCTTCCTTTCCAGAGACGATTCACTACCGAGACTAAGGGAGCAGCCCACTAGTGACTGCATCTTTCTAATTATCCTTTCCATCTAGCCTCAATTTCTAAAGAAAAATGGAGGAATGTTGACAAAATGTCCCTATTTGTTGCAGCCATTTTGAGAGAAGAAAAACATCCCAGAAAAGATGAACTGATCAGAAAGGGTGACAAAAATCACATCAGTTCAAGTTATAAATGTTTTCAGCTTTTGAATACAATGGAATACTTTCACTCTCTTGTTTGAGAGTTTATATCTGACCACTACACCTAGGGATGGGTGTGAAAAGCAGAAGTGCTGCCCTCACCAGTACGTCATTGCAGATGTCCTGCAGCTCAGCCTCTATCTTCTCACGGTACTCTTTGCCCATCTGTTGCTTCTTCTCATTCCTCTCTGTTTTTTGTTCGATGCTGGAGATGACACGCCAGGAAGAACGGCGGGCACCTACCACATTCTTGTAGGCAACAGAGAGCAGATTTCTCTCTTCGTTGGAGAGTTCATGACCCTGTTCTGTTACAGCCTTCATAGCTGCAGCCATATCATCATAGCGCTCAGCTTGCTCAGCAAGTTTGGCTTTCTGAACCAGCTCACTTTTGTCCATGGTCATTCCTAGAACAGCAAGAGCACAGAGAAAGCAATGTCAGGCTTCCGACATACTTGGAAGCACAGCCCCCAATGCCATCAAGAATGTGGATCATGTACTAAATACCTACAGTCAGGATTGGGCTGAGGCCTTTAAATCATTTTGGTCAATTGTTACCAATAATCCCACATGATAGAAATATTCCTAATAACCCTTCCACCTTCTTAGAAAACATAAATATTAGGAGAGAAAATGATGCTTGAACACCACAAGGAGTCAAGGCTTCCTTCTTACTTGCCTGTCTCTTCTAGAGCTTATTTGTTCCATTATCCTATCTGCCTCCCCAATACACAGAAACTGCTTACAAACTACTTGCTTTTAAACATTTATGTGTTCATGCACACAAAGAGTACACACATGGACACGTACGAAGAAGAGAGGACAATTGTTGGAGCTGGTTCTCTTCCTGTACCATGTGAGTTTCAGGGATTGAACTCAGGTCAACAAGTTTGGCAACAACCTCCCTTTTCTTCTAACCCATCTTGACACCATCAAACTTTTTTTTTAAAAGTTTACGATACATACATGTTCTTTAACTTATTAACTTGTAAAAAGTGACCTTAGTTTGGGGCTGGAGAGATGGCTCAGAGGTTAAGAGCACTGCCTGCTATTCCAAAGGATATGTATTTTAACCCTCAACATCTACATGGCAGATCAAAACTGCATTTATTTATTTGTTTGTTTATTTTTTAAGGCAGCCTTAGCTCAACATCCAGCAATATAGAAGCGGCTTCTCACTGTCTACTTCCCAGCACCTACACAGCAGCTATGAGTCAAACTGCAAGCACTTCAGCCAGATGATATGTCAGCAGAAATGATACTTCTCCCAGCCTAAAATGTGAAAAACACTCGGTACAAATCCCTAGGCCCTCTTCTTTTATAGTAGTCACCTAGAAGTCCATGTATTCTAATATGTACAGTCTTCAAATGGTGACCTTCTATTAGTTCAAGTTCCTGAGTGATTCTGCTACAATGGACATGCAGTAAAAAAAAAAGAAACTTTTGGGAGGAGAGATGGCTCATCGGTTGAGAGCGCTGGCTGCTCTTCCAGATGACTTGGGTTTAATTCCCAGCACCCACATGGTGGCTCACAACCACCTATAACTCTAATTCCAAGGGATATAATGCCCTCTGTGGGCAACACACACACACACACACACACACACACACACGCTGCACATACATACATACATACATAAAAATAAATAAATATGGAATAAAATAGAGCCTTTCTGGTTTGGGACTATTTCAGATTCTTTGACACTGTCACAGAGTGACATCATTTTACCTTAGACTAAATTTATGCCCTTAAAAAAAGGAAATTGGTACTCACCTATTTACCAGTTTCTAAAACTTTCAATTATACATACAAAGAAACAAGAAAACACATTAATTAAAGGTCCTGTTGCCTGTTGCTTATGTAACTTTAGACTTATATAACATGGATTTTGGAGCAGCTAGGCCAATTTCAACAGGAAATGGGTTACACAACATTTAGTAGTTTGGAGAAGGCACAGACCAGGAAAAGTGAAACAGTTCCTTTTTCTCCATCTACAGTAACACCCACCTACACTTCTGGTCATCACCTTTAGCTATTTCACATCTCTGTTATCAGGCCCATTCTCTGAAATCTCCAATAAAGGCACTTCCTGATTAAATGTTTTCACAGTCCCTTGCCATGGGCAGTAGAGATAGTGAAGAGTAGCAACTGACAGCAAACCTTTTCTCATAACATGTCCTTCTGCCAAAACAGCTGTCTTCACCCCACATCCACTTTTCTGTCTTGAGTCATTAAGCCATGGCTTTCCTTCCACAAGGTCCCTCCATCGACCTTCCCAAGAAGCTAGCCCAATAGTTACTAGCCTCTAGAAAATGTGACTAGTGCCACCTTTTGAAACATGGTATTTCGTAGTGATATATCCACCCCATTTGGATATTTTAAAATGTTAGTTTCACTTGTCTTTTGGTATCTATCTTTTTAAGGATGGCTGTGCTTGAACTCAGGGCTGCATGTGTGTTATACTCCAGCATTGTATAACACCCCCAGACTTTGTCTTTTTTGGTTTGGTTTGTTTTTCATCAGCTCTGGCTGACCTGGAACTCATTCTTTAGACCAGGCTGGCCTTGAACTCAGAAATCTCCCTGCCTGCCTGCCTCTGCCTCCCTAGTGCTAAGATTAAAGATGTGTGCCACCACTGCCCAGCTATTTTTTTCTTTAAGTCTGTAATGAACCTACCAAAAAATATTTTTTTTATTACATTTGGCTGATATTTTATTTCTAACATGAAAATGTCTTTGGAAAGAACTCTGTCTACACCTGCTGGCTAATGCATGTCTTCAGTACTGAAACCATTCATGCATGCTCCCAAGTTCCTCCCCATATTGTGAGCTCCTTTAGAGAGGCTCTCCCAGTACCCTACACACAACTGGTATGAACAGCTACTCAATGAGGAGCTCCTGAAAAGAAACCACCCCCTACAATTATGGTAATAGTCTCTCCTTCCTCAAATGCAATAATCCAAAGTTCATGTTCCTTAAAAGCACACTCCCTCACTCCATAGATTTCTAAACTAGCGTTTCAGCCACACCTTCTTCCTAACTCAGTAGTCCTAAGGACTCCTCTTTGGGCTAATCCATCACTTGAGTCTAAACCTTAGCTGCTTGTCATTCAGAACGTGGCCCATGAGGTTTTCTGATCCACTGATCTTCAACTCCCCTTTCTCATATACCCTGCAAGCACTGTACTCAAACATGTAGGTCTCTTCATCTAGACTGCTCTGCTGGATATTTTCCTTCGCAGATGCTACCCACCTATCTAGGGCTACACAGGCCACGCTGATCTATGACACAGGACTCTCAATACACATGGAACCTGCTACACAGTCTAGGGCTTCTTTATGCTGGTCTATGGTAGGTGGTGAAAGCTACCCCACTTCGTTTCCCACACACTATTGTAAGGAAGGATGCATATGTAATGCCTAAACTGCTCAAGTAAGCATCCATTAAGTTTCTGGACACACATGACTAGGAGAACAAAGAACACACATAAAGGCAACAGCACCATATGTCAAAGCACATTCTGCCACCACACAGGAAAAGATCCTGTTAAACTCAAGTCTGAAAGTTTACAAATGAAGACCACAGACTCTCCCTCGGCAGACTTGCTATGAACACCAGGAACAGGGCATTGAAGAACAGATACAAAATCTTTCTTACAAATACATACTGCACAAACAAGCCTGAAGATTATTAATTCTCCCCAAGTGTCTACATATCATTTTAAACCCAAAGTGTAATCTTTTAAAAACTATATATATAAATTTCAGAAAATATTAGAGATGTTGGCTCAGTGGGGGAACGCCTTGGGTTCAACCCCCAGTATCAAAACAACAAACAAAAAACCAGAAGGAGGAAGTGAGTCTGAATTGATGTTTGCACAGGAAGTAGTTATATGCTAACATGAGAGTAATTTTCTCAGCAAGTTCAAAATGGACATACATGTTAACTGTAACATTTTAGCAATTGCCAACCATACTTTTCTGGAATTACTAGGCAGTGGCAGCCTATCAGAAGGGTATGCAATTTTTCTAAGAGACTCTAAATGAGGATCACAGCCTTTATTTGCTTTCTACCAGGACAGGACTCTGTAGAGGCCATAGTCTAGGCTGGCAGTGAACTAGCAGGAAGGCATTGACATACATGGGAACAGGAGTTCCCAGAGTACCCACATGGTAATGATGGGTGTCAATCTGTCTGTTCTAGGCCACTGGGAGCATCAAGTCATAGTACTGGCTGGCATTTGCTAATAAACGTAACACATGCTTAGTGACATATTGAAAACAAGTCAAATATCCAACAGTGGAAAGCTATAAAGACTGACAGTACAGATTGTAGGAGCCTCACCTCAACAGGAAGCTACACAGGAAAGACACATTTAAGATGTATAGGGCCGTGCATAAAGGGGTACACAGTACCTTCCTAAAACGTTCTTAAAGAGCACAGAAACATGATTAGAAAAGTCAACACCAAGTGGCTAAGGGTAGCCGGGTGGTGGTGGTACACACCTTTAATCCCAGTGCTTGGGAGGCAGAGGCAGGAGGATCTCTGTGAGTTTGAGGCCAGCCTGATCTATAGAGTGAGTTCCAGGACAACCAGGACTGTTTTATAGAGAAACCCTGTTTTGAAAAACAAAACAACAAAAAATTTAAAATTGGATTCCCATTGTCTGCTACATGTCGAGTCACCTGACTTTATAGAAAACACAGGGCTCTGTCAGGGAAGCCCTATATAGAACCATCAGGAAACTATATAAAAGTATACACACAGACACACACACACACGAATCCCTCACATGATAGCTATTTCTGCAGTGTTAAAAGTAGACATTAACAGCAGCCAAATAAAACAACACACACCAAATGCTTAGACAGTAAAGTAATTCTGACTCTTAAGGTACTTCACAAAAACAAAATACCTATAGTCCAGTGTTGAAACAACCACAGAAATAAATGACCAGTATGTCCAAGAATTATTTGGATTATTCACTCAGAGGAGTCGAAAAGAACTACCAGCACACTAGTGTGCGCCCCCCACACCTTTAATCCCAGAACTTGGGAGGCAGAGACAGACGGATCTCTGTGGATCTCTGTAAGTTTGAGGCCAGCCTGGTCTACAAAGCAAGTTCCAGGACAGGCTTCAAAGCTACACAAAGAAACCATCTAAAAAAAACAAAAACAAAACAACAGCAAAAAACCTACCACAAGAAGGCAGCAGTATATCTGAATGAATCTCCTTGGAAAAGCAACCAACTATACTTAGAGGGAAGAGTCTAAAGGGATGTGTATTCTGGAACTGGAGTGAAGGCTCAGAAGTTAAAAGCATATACTGCTCTTACGAGGAATCAGTCTGACTTTCAGAATTCATTTCTGGAGCTCACAAGTGCCTGTCATTCCAACTTCAGGGGACT